ACGAAATAGGGTGAATACATCTCATTACACTGATTTACTGGTAGTCTCGAAACCCTACTTACTTACGAGATATATACTAGTAAACAGGGAAAATACATGTGTACAGACGGAAGGACAATCAGACAAACAGACTCATGTACGATAAACCGACAAGTAACCCCAAGTCGGTCGGGTAGGTAGGAAATCAGGCAGGCATTCGTGCAAGGAGTCAGACAACCAGTAAGGCGGGCAGCTGGGCCGTCAGAGTGTCAGTCGGGTAAGCTATTCATGACACAAGACAGGCGGACAGACAGACAGACAGACAAAAGATCATCGGGCAGACAAAGATGAGAAGAGATAAGGAAGCAGGCAAGCAGAAAAGGAGAAAAGCAACCGGAGGGGCCTTCGTAGAGGCCTTGATACTGGCAATACGGCCAGCAGTCCGTCAGGCCTTAATTCATTAATATAATAATTAATAGATTGAATCAGTTAATTAGTTACTCAGAGTGTTAATCAATCAGTCAGCCAGCCAGCCATTCATTGAATTATTCGCCAATCCATTCAATTATGTAGTCAGTCAGCCAGTAATTCAGTCAGTTAATCAGTCATTCAATTGGAATTTCAGTCAGGCATTCATTAATTCAGTATTGCACCCATTCATTCAATGAGACCCATAGTTAGTCATTCATTCAATCATTCAGCCAGTCACTCAATTACTCTGCCAGGTATGCATTCAATAAGTCGCTGAATCATCCAATCATCTAGTCAACCAGCCAATAAATCAGTCAGTTAATCCGTCATTCAAGTACGGAACCCATTCATTAATTGACTAAGCCGGGCAAACAATCAGTCAGCCAGCCAATCATTCAAGTATTCTCTAATCCATCCAACCACTTAGTCAGTCAGCCAGTAAATAAGTCAGTTAGTCAGTCATTCAATTGGTATTTTATTCAGCCATTCATTATTTCGATACTACACCCATTCATTCATTGATCCACTTAGTTAGGCATTCATTCAATCAATCTACCAATAAAGCAATCAGTCAGCCATGTATTTATTCAATTATTCGCATATCCGTTCAATCCCGTACTCAGTCAGATAATTATTCATTCATGTATTCTTTCAACCGAACACTTAGCCAGTCATTCACTCATTCGTTCATTCAGCTTTTTATTTATTTAGTCATTCAGCCTGACATTTATTTATTTATGAACGAACCCATTCATCCAGTGATTCAGTCAGTTAGTCATTCAGTCAGCCAAACAGACAGTCACTCAATTATTTAGCCATCCATTTATTCAATTATTCATTTATGCATCCAACCATTAATTTATTTAGTTGGTCAATCTGTCCCTTTCTCCATCAGTTAATCTCTCTTTTATTCAGTTATTCAGTTATT